AACTGTTTAATGCATTTCCCACAAGGAGCATGCATTTGTGAATACATTTTAAGTGAAAAGGTCAGACGTGACACACTTAGTTGTTGAGCCATTACATTAAAAGTGCCTGAAGTATAGTCGTTTACTAGCAAAATTACTTAATACCAAAGCCTTTTGCTTTCATTGGTATTCTTTTCAAAGTGGTCTTATTGTTAGTTAATTTTGTATTATGGTATTTGCTATCATTTCATATCAGTGGCATTCTTTATTATGTCACCACTTATTTGACAAAATAGTAGATATAACTAATGGAGACAAGTTACGCAGAGAAGGAAGATGGCATTCTTAGTATACTTCTTCCTCTTATTCATGAATTTTTCTGGGTTAATACTCACTTGATTTAACACTTATAAATAATATTTCAGAACATTTTTTGATGTGTAGATTCCATAATTACATTTCAGTTTTCTTTATATTAAAATTCAGGCAACTATTTAGACTACATTGTTACATTAGAATTTGTTTTGTCAAATATTTATGAGGAAAAAAACAGCACATGAATTAGAATGCAGGTGTCTTTTGTTAAATATCTATATTACAAAAGAATTTAAACTAGTAGCATTTTAAAAATATTACTTTGCTTCACCAATAATGAGACCCTACCACTTTGGGAAAGCTCGTGAGAGTTGAGAGATTGCTTCTTTTCCTGAGACTTCATTCAGTCTCTTTCCCTGTATTGCTTGTTTAAATCGCTTTAACTCTGAAGATCATTACTGCAATCCTACTTTACATTCTTTCTTAAAAATAAAACATTTACCTGGGCCCTGTGTTCCCCATCCATCTCCATCTTCACCCCGTGCTTTGCCCCTCCAAGGGAAAGGTCCCTCGCTTTTGAGTTCTTCTTCAGCACCTTGTCACCCCTCTTCAGCCCCAACATGTGTGGCGATAAAATAGAGCTCTGAAAAGTCACCCATGAGGCAATGGCCAGATCCAGTAGCTGTTTTTCACATCCTTTCTTGATTGATTGGCTTTTGATCTGTTTGTCACCACTTCCTCTTCTTTTCTCAGGTCGTTATGTGCTCTCTTACTCTCTCTTACCTCTTAGACCATTTTCTCCTCGCTTGTCTTCCCCATTTCACATTCTTCTTGCCGTCTGCTCCTTAAATGTTCATGTTCATTTGCTTCCTTTAACCACTCTGAATAAAGTTCTCAATCCACATGACTGAAATACAACTACATGTTTTAAAATTCTAGGCCTTCATCTCTGGCCCAGATTATGTGTAACTTCCTTCTTGATATTGCACCTGAATAACACACAGACAGGAAGCACAAGCTCAGAAGGCTCCACATTGAATTCATATTTACATTGCACACTTTCCTGGCTATGCAAGTAAGAACACTGATCATTAGTCTTGACTTTGTCCTCACCCAACCTGTGCATCACTAAAACCTGTTTATTTTTATCTCTTGAATACATCTCTCTCACTTCTCTCTTGGATTATTGCAGTGTCCTGTCAACTCATTTGTTTACCTACCTCCAATCTCAAAACTCTCAAATCTACCCCCCTCTATTGTTCTCTGCATTAAAAACCTTTCAACAACTGTTCGCTGTAATTTACCAGGATGATATGTAGTTATACTGTATATTCCTGTATTTACTGACCGTATATAGTAGAAGGCCCTCTGTGATCTGACCCCAGCACTTGTCTAGCCTCTTATCACTTTGGATGCAAATAAATTGCGTTTGTTTCTGCAACGCTGCACTCACTTTCGGTGCGTGTGTTTAAGGCTCTCTGTCTATGTTTTGGGAAGCTGGGTGTACATACAGAGCTTGTATTCTGAGTTATTCCTGTGAGGTGACTTGGCTAGGCTGTTTCCTTAGGGAATCCCCTTTGTTAGTCCCTGGCTCTTTTCTCCAACGCTACTGAGATTGCACAGAAAACAGTTTTCCAGTCTCTCTCCTGATACTGGCTTTCTGCCAGGATTCTTTGTGCTAGAAGTTTGAGGGATCTTTCATTTAATCTTGTTTTCAGAATGGTACTCTTCCCCCAGAGATATATGATCCAGAGATTCTCTCTAGAAAAGAAACGTCTGGTTTTGTTGTTGTTGTTGTTTTCAAACTTCCAGAGTGTGGGAGAGTTGACTGTCTGCTAGAAGCAAAGGTAGCAGATCTGGGTTTCAGCTTCTTAACACCTTTTGACCAGATTCCTGTTTGGAGTCTCCCCTTCATCCCCACTTTCAGAGACCCTTGGTACTTCCTGTACCTGGGCCTTTTGAGGGTTTGCTGTGTCAGTCTGGTCACTCATCATTCCCTGCTGCTGGCCAACAAGCCACATTTCTCAAGTCTGCTAAGTCAGCTGCTGCTGCCCATTTAGAAGCTCTTTGATGGAAAAAGAAAAGTTTTCCATGGTTTTAGTAGTTTATTGGGGGGAAGGAATACTAACTGTGTGTTCAGTCTCCCCAGTTTTAACAGTGTGTCAAGCCTGCCTCCCTGTCTTTGCCTATGCTTTTCCTGTTCGGTGTAACCCCCACCCCCCCGAGGTCCTGGCCCTAATTCCTCAATTCTGTGCTCAGGTAGCATGTACTCTAAATGCCTGACCATTGCCTAGGTAAATTTGCCCCTCCTCTGCTATATCTAGTTGTTACATTTTACCCCATCTGTTTATTTAACAGCACACAAATATTATAATTATTTGATTACATGTCAGTCTTCCTTACTAATTATGTATAGTGATTTAAATGGAATTTAGCAAATTATTGCATTAGTAGAGGTCATTATTTTATAAAAGATGAGACTGATATATAACAACCATAGCTAAAGCACAACATAATTGGTGACTTCTGTTTAAAGTCATATTATACACAAATACAAGTAGAAGTTTCTAAAATTTTAAGAAAGATTCAATCTCTCTAGTATCTTGCTAACAGTATTAAATATTAAGTCCTCTTTAAAACTGATAGTACAAAGATAAACCCTCTCTCTGACTGATTTGTGAAAAGTTTAGTTTTTACTCTTAAAGCAAAAGTTATTATTGGAATAATTTATTGTAAAAATTTACATTTTTATGAAATTTCAATTTTTCTGCATTTACTCCCTTCTCTGCAATGGTATTTAAATCAAGGTAATACCAGGCCATGTACAAGAATCATGTTCCAAGTTAAATTTTTGGTAGTATTAAAAATATCTTTCTGATTTTATTAATTCTATGAATAGAAGATTAGAAATTTCATTATGTTCTCAGAAAATATTATGGAATAGACATTTAAACATAGGGGTCTGATATTCAATCTAGTTAGAATAGACTTTTTTTGGCCTTATTTGGGGTAACATGTATGAACTTAAAACATTTTGAGTTTCAATACAAAGTGATCTAGCATAACCATATGAAAATAAGTCATCACATTATAGCTAGGATATTTTGGGATATTTTGTGTCTGTCTGTAATATTTAAAATAAAAATAGTAATACAAATGCAAATGATCACTAATGATACTTCAACTTAGACTCCTCATCTAGTCAAATCTTAGAGTGTGCAGAATCTATAGAAACCCTTAAAAATGATGGAGTCTCAGAGTTGGAAGGACGCTTAGAGTCTGCAAGTTCAAACTTCTGTCCAATTTACTTCAGAAGAACCCAAGAAAGAGGTTGCTTGAGGTGATGTTTGTGGATAACTACTTAACTATTAACTGGATGTCTATACCTCTCTCTAACTTAAATTTTCATTTGTTTAACAGCACTAGTGAATATATCTTGATGTGTGGGACAAATACCATTCTAATCATGTTATGACATCGTCCCTACGTGGATCAGCCATATTTTTTGCATAAACTTTCATTTTAAATCATGTATGAAAGAGTGGCTTTTACATAATAAATGACCTTCCACAGGTCACCATTGAGCATTTTATTTTTGCACTTCACATTGTGATCCTAGATAGAAAGCATGTAAGGGACATATAGGCCTTCAACACTTATTATTTATTTGCTCTTATTTATGTCTACCTAATTATACAAGAAGGAAACCAAAAGATGGAAAAGAACAAATATTCTGATAGTGAAATGTTGCGTATTTAAGGTTTAGCAAGGCTTTACTACCCACCTGAGAGACAGGAGACATTACAGGTAGAATGTTACTTTAGAGGAGTAAAACAGAGACACAGCTGGAAAGGACTGCAAGAAGCTGCACAGTTGTATTTCAGGCATGAGTCGTGAAGCTGAGCTGTGCAATTATGTGCAAAGCAAGAGAACTACTCTGTGATCTGTGAGAGCTTCGATGGTGAAGAAATATAACTAGAACGGGTGAAGTTTCTATGCCTGTGAGGCATGATGAGAACACAATTTTTATTCTAAACAAATTTCACATTAATTTTGTCTCGACCGTTTGGAATCCACCATTGATTGTCATAAGTTAAAAGCCGATTAAGTAATTAGATTTCAATGACTTGGATAATTTTTTAATTGAAAAATGATAGGATTAAATTCCAAAGGGATAAAAAATATCATTACCATCAACTCTATTATCATCAAGAATGTACTATGTGCCTACTTTGTTCGAAGGGGATCATTAATAGCTTTCAAAATCCCAAGAATAGTTAGGTGGAAGAATCTAATAGCACTTATTACTCTTTCACTTCATATAGTGAAACTGTTTTAAAAATGAAGAAACTATTTATTTGACGTACAAGATAATTTCTCTAAATTATCTAAATAGCTAGTAGGTAGGTTGAGGTGAACTCCTAGGAATCCACATCCTATGTTCATATTCACTATGTCACCAGAATAGTCACAGAATCTTCTTTTTTGGGAAATCTTCAAGAATGATAATAAGCTGCTGTCTAAAAATATTGATATCAGCGGCCTGAAAATTTCACCTCATTTGCAAGCATGGAATCAGACAACCCTCAGGTTTTCTTTCTGTACCTGCTAATCTGTTGCATAATGATTTCAAGGTGTGAATTAAAGCTTAGAACTTGGCAAGATCTGTTTGAGGATTACTCAAGGATATATATTACTTGTTTCAGGAACAGCATCTGTTGCAGTTGCAGGTCTTCTTGCAGCTCTTCGAATAACCAAGAATAAGCTGTCTGACCAAACAGTACTATTCCAAGGAGCTGGAGAGGTACCTGCCTTATATAATGCTTATGTTCTACTAAATGACATAAGTTAGTTGTAATTTCTCCTTAATTCAAGGAGAATTCTTGAATTCTTGAGGTGTTCTTTCAGACATTTAGTATTGGAGATTCCTGAATTATCAAGACATAATAATTTTTCATAGGGTACTTTAGTATAGAGGTATAAAGATGTATAAAGATGTTTTTCACAGTTTCAAATTTGTAAGATCACCAAATGTTACCATAGATTTTTTTTTTTTTTTTTGAGTTGGAGTCTCACCAGACTGGAGTGCAGTGGCCACTCCCGGCCACCGCAGCTTCGACCTACTGGGCTCCGGCGATCCTTCCGCCTCAGCCTTCTGAGTAGCCGGACTTACAGGCGCGCACTACCACGCCTGGCTGACTTTTGACTTCCTGTAGAGATGAGGTCTCGCCAAGTTGCCCAGGTGGGGCTCGAACCCGCGGGCTCAGGCAATCCACTCACCTCAGCCTCCCAAAGGCGCGGGATTACAGGCTGAGTCACCGAGCCCGGCTGCCATAGATTTTTGTTATGCATATTTAAGGTGCAGTGCAGGAAAAGAAAAGCTTCCACTCTGTGCTTATATATGAAAGCCTTTAAGTATTTAAGCTAGCATATTCAGTGCTGACTTTTAGTATACTCTAGTATCACATACAAATATTTTAATTTTATTTTTATAGATTTAGGGTACATGTGTTAGTTTGTTACTTGGCTCTATTGTGTATTTGTGAGGTTTGGGCTTCTAGTGTGCCTCTTACTCAAATAGTGATTTTTCAGCCCTCACTTCCTCTCGCCCTCCCCACTTTCAGAGTCCCGGGTGTCTATGATTTATCTATGACATAAGAGTTTTTACAAATTTGATTCACAATTCAATATGCATATCAGTAACTATATGCATGTTTTTATGAAAAAATATTTTGAATTAGGATCTCAAAGTGCATTATTACCATCCACATACAAAAACCCCAAAACACTTTAAATTGTTGCAAGGAGATTGCTGCAAGACCAAGTAATGCTTTCTGTTATCATTTGCTTAATTTAATCATTTGAAAAAAGAAAACCAGAGTCTATTATAGTAGTAATAATTTTCTCCCACAATAGCAATTAAAATGTTAGTTGAGTTTGAGTTTCTTGTGGGGAAACTGCAAAATATCTTTAGAATTACAGAATGTAAATTAATAGGGAAATACTTTGTGGCTATAACTATATTTTAAGAAACTTTAAATTTTTGAATTTGATATTATTATGAACAAAACAATGTATTTTTGTATATGTTATGTTGGTTTTCATTTTGCTTGTTAAAATAAAACAAAATACATGAAACTAGAACTTAAATCCAAGAAACAAATATGTGAAAGTATTCAGAATGTAAATTACAAATTCACTTTCGCATTGAAATAAAAATCAAGGCTAAGTGACAGCCCATTAACATTTGGGTTCTTTATTTTGTGGATTATTACATGCTGTATTTAATTTTAGTAGACACCTTTGAATTTTCAAAGGGCCTTGATGAATGGCACAGACCAGTTCCTGATACTCAATGGGACAGAAGTATTCATGCTTGGATGACTCAAAACTAGCGCTTATTTGTCCCTGAAAAGATATTGGAAGTTTTACAGATTATTACAAAATTTACCAGATACCAGGGAAGTTGATTCCTCTAATGTTTCAAGAAATTTCACAGCACTTTCTTTGTCCAAATTAGGAGAATAAATAAATGCTGGGAACACAGATTTTTTTTTTTGGCCAGTTTCATTCTGTTGCCTAATTGTTCAAGTTCCCATCCAAATGACCAGGCTTCATTCTTCAAATTTAATTAGAGGAGCTTGAACCTAACAATAGACCATACAGTCCAATGAGCAAGGTTGACCAACCAGTTCATTATTTTAAATTCAGTATTTTCTTGTTAGAGCAAATCTTGATTGTATTAATAGGATTAAAGATACTGACAATCAAAGATACCACTGCTTTATCTGTGGCCAAATCAAGCCACATAATAGTGGTTCTGTTGTGGTAAAAAAGGGTAAATAATTATAATTTGGATTAGCCCAGTTGTGACAAAAATACTTTACTCCCAGTATAAATGAATGAACACAGCTCTTGAGCTCAATAGAGCCATTTTTAATACTTCCTTAGTAACAGAGACAAAATAGGGTGAAATGTAACCCTTGATAAGATATCATGTGCAACAACTTTTATAATTTTTGTTTTTATACCCTCTTTCATAGGCTGCCTTAGGTATTGCACACCTGATTGTTATGGCCATGGAAAAAGAAGGTTTACCAAAGGAGAAAGCCATCAAAAAGATATGGCTGGTTGACTCAAAAGGATTGATAGTTAAGGTAAGCATTTGTGGTTTTTAGCCAGAATAAAAATCAGTATGCCTTTCTATGTGACCATCTCATTTCAAATATTACTTCTGTATCTACCACCTCTCTTTACACTATGTAAAAGAGTAGCCTTTGAACACGAATGGTCATGTTGTACAGTGGTACTGATACTCTTCTGAATAGGGAAGAAAACTTCCATCTGCAATGTAAGCAGGTGCTTTACAATTCTGTGGATTGCCAGCCTACTTGAGTTAGTTTAGTTATCAGTTTGGCAGTTTTATACTGAGTCAGAGTCTCACTGTCATCCAGGCTGGAGTTCAGTGACATGATCATGGCTACCACAGCCTCGATCTGCTGGACTTAGGCGATCCTTCCACTTCAGCTTTTCAAGCAGGTAGGACTACCGTGTACAGCCCCATGCCCAGCTCATGTTTTAGTTTATTGTAGAGATGAGGTCTTGCCATTTTGCCCAGACTGATCTTGAACTCCTGGACTCAGGCACTCTTCCCACTTTGGCCTCCCAAAGTGCTGGGGTTACAGGCATGAGCCACTGTGTCCAGTCAATATGTTTGTTTTTTAAAATTCATATACATAGACAAATTTTGCCTTAAATGAAGAAAAAGTATATGCATAATTTTTTGTAGTAAATATGTATAAAGGCAGAGATTTTCAGTATAGATCTCTTGGCTTAAAAAAAAGCTATTGCATTGACGAGTTAGCATAACTATACACTGTCGTCATATGACATGTGGTTATGAAATAAGAACATGTACTGAATAAAATTGGCTATGATCAGGCATCGTTCTAGATTTTGGCGACACAGTAAGTCCCTTGATCTCAGGAAGCTCACAGCCTAGCGTGAAAAACTCAAACAAGTCACGAGTAACAGAACTATGAAACTTACATTTTTTAACATGTTGCCATAAAAATATGTTCATGGTGCTGGGCACACTGGAGATTATGCTCCCAACTGCCCTAAAGAGAAGATCCTGAGGCAAGGTGTCTCTCTCTCTTTTTTTTTGTATCCTCCCATACTGTGCTTTATTTTATTCTGTGAAAATAAGTCTTATTATAAAACAGAGTGAAATCCAGAAACCAAACACCAAACTCTCTAGCAAAACAAGACCCTGTAATGTATACAGTCATTGCTAATGGGACAGGCAAGGTGTCTCTTAAGCTAACGTGGAGAGGAAGAGTTGAGAGTTTATCTGGAGTCTCCATGGGTATCTTAAATTTCCTGTATTCAAAACTGAAAGTATGGTGGCTGTTCACTGAAGGGTCCTGATCAAAGCTAAGTATCATGTCTTTTGTGTCTTTATATCTTTAAAGTTCTCCACAGTAGGTAGTACATACTTGACAGCCAATATTTTGTTAATACTGAGTTAATGAATGAATGACTTTCCAGAAGAAAAACCTGGCTTCCCCAGCATTGCAAAAGAAAATATTTTGGTATAAGAGACTTTTAAGGATTAGGTCTAAAAGGAAGGAGGTGACAGGTGACGAAGGACTTTCCTGAAGATGAGTAATTGAAGAAACTTGTGCAGGGGGCTTGCCACTTCAGTCACTCTTGTGGCATTATGGAGGAGGGATTGAAATGAGGGGAAACCGAGGAAAGGAAACTAGTTACAAAACTGTTGCCATGATCCATGTAAACATTAATTGGGGCATGGCCATGGAGAGGAATAAAAGAAGCTTAATTCAGTAGATGGTTAGGAAATAGGATTGGCATACTTAGTGCTGAGTAAATATTGAAGGAGGAATGGAGCAGAGTAGGGGAAGGAGTCTGGCTGGACCCCTTGGGTCTCTAGGCAAGGAGTGCTGCCATTCATGTAGAAAAAAGAATAAAGAACAGACCAGCTTCAGGGAGGTAACGATCAACTTCACTTAGAACAAGTTTAAAGTGCCCAAAAGTGCCCACGGAGACAGCAGAGATGTCTCCTGGGTGATTGAAGATATGAGACTGACACTCAGGATGAGGGTCTAGGCTAGGGCTAGGGGTGTGGAGGTCATCAGCAGGTAGATAGTTAGAGCTGTGGGAAAGCTGCACAAAGTGTGTTGTTCTTAAGCAGTAAGATATTCAGTGATCCAAGAAAGTGGAAGTCTGTGACTGTGGCTTTATTTTGTGGTTTCTAATGACATTCTTACTTGAAATCTGGGTAAAAATATATAGATTTAGCATCTTAAATAATTTTGGCATATTTACTGAGTGGAGACTCCAAAAACCATGGATCATAATACTTGGAATAACTGTGAAGTTGTCAGCTAGACTCAGTCAGTCACTATTACTGCATGTCTTTTACTTGCCAACATAATGAAGCTCATATATTCTGCTTTGCACGATAAAGTTACATTTTAAAAAGTTGTTATATATTTAATAGTGTGTGCACTATTTAATGTAAAAGATACATATTAACTTTCAAACTTTCCTTTCATGCTTTTAAATGGTCAAAATTCATATAATGACGTTTGTTGCAGAACTAATAAATCTTAGAATAACTACTAAATTAGTACAGTATTGTTTTCAAATTTACATGATTACTTTGTGTTTGTTCCCTTTAATCCTTAGTGCTTTTACAACATCTCCTGAGGACCAATACTAATAATTTTATTAATTTGTAATATAATTGTTTATAATATATAAAAATAGCATAAAGTTTAAATGAAAAATTTTATTGGTGAGGCTTCACTTTTTAAGGCATAAAGCCCAAAATTAAAAAGTAAACTGTGAAGCCGGGCTCGGTGGCTCAGCTTGTAATCCCGCGCCTTTGGGAGGCTTTGGATTGCCTGAGCCCGCGGGTTCGAGACCCGCCTGGGCAGCGAGACCTCATCTCTACAATAAATCAAAAAATCAGCTGGGCGTGGTAGTGCATGCCTGTAATTCCGGCTACTCGGAAGGCTGAGGCGGAAGGATCGCCGGAGCCCAGCAGGTCGAGGCTGCGGTGGCCGGGAGCGGCCACTGCACTCCAGTCTGGGTGACAGAGTGAGACTCCAACTCAAAAAAAAAAAAGTAAACTGTGAAGCCAACTCATCTTTGAAATGATCAGACTATAGATAGCTGTTTTTCTGGCATGCTTTTTCTGTTCTCATTTTCAACATTACAGCTCTGACATTTTCCATCGTTTACCTTATATCCACATGTACAATGGAAGTTTATGCTATAGATGATCAGCACTTTATTTTATTTTATGTTATTTGTGAGGCAGGGCCTTTCTGTTGTGCAGGGCGGAGTGGCATGATCATGGCTCAGTGTGTCCTTGAACTCCTCCCAGGCTCAAGTGATCCTCCCACCTCAGCCTCCTGAGTGACTGGTGCTGCAGGTGTGCACTACCAGGCTCAGCTGAGTTTTAAAAATTTTTGGTAGCGATGGAGTCTTGCTATGTTGCTGGTCTCAAGCTCCTGACCTCAAGCAGTCCTCCCACCTTGGCCTCCCAAAGTGCTGGGATTACAGGTGTGAGCTACCACTCCAGGCCAGAATATCAGTATTTTAAACAACTCATCAATATCAGTAACATTTATTAAAATCAATTATTTGATCACTGTTAACACACAAATATCTTACTTGAGTATTTTGTAGTGAGAAACAGTTAATATATTAATTTGTTAACTAACATTAATACATTTTAATGTAAACAAGCCAATACTTAGTACAAAAAAATCCTTCAAAAGTAAAAGTTAGAGTGAGAATAAAAACAGTAAAGAGAGGATGAAAAAGAATTGCCAGCACATCTAGTGTTTGCATTTCGCAATGATGACTTGGAATATTTTCAGGAAGAGCAAGAAGCCACAAAACAAACCAACCGAGAGTTAATCTAGTCCTTAAATAAATACATGTTGGTTTTCAGTGATAAACAAAATGAGTGCTAAGACAGAACATTCAGAGCAAAAAGTAGGATATTAACACATATGAGGGATAGACTTTATCTAACCCAGAATAAGACTGTAGACTGGCTTGAATTTTGTTTTAAATAATTTCACTTTACTGTATTTTTAAATTTATAGTTAAACATTTAGCTCCTGTAGAAAAACATAGTTAATATGGGTAGATTGTATATTAGAAAGATAGTTTTAACAATTATTTCTTTCCTGAGACTGTAACCTTTAGATCTAGGGCTTGAAACTCCAGGCTGTATAGACAATGCTTTCCTTTTCTCTGCTGTTTTTTCAGCTTTTCAGACAGTAGTGTTGCCACCAACTTGAATAATAGTTAATACATTTCATACACTGTGGTTTGAAAAAATTATTCTAACTCCCAAGAGGTTTTGTAGCTTGATCATTTTCTCCCTCTTTTTCATTTCATATGGAGTGTGAGCAATGCTTCTGTAGACATTAAAAAGAACAGGAGCCAGAGATTATATGCCTAAGTCTTATAGACAGAAAATTATGAGCATTGATTTTTAACATCCAAAACTAAATACTGATGGAGTTCACCATCTACTGTCTTAAATTACAACCATTTTATACCCCCGGCTATACATTTGTCACATAATTTATCTTTGTTTAATGTGTCCTGAGATAATGAACATAGTTCTGGAATCTTTTGCAAGCGCACATACCTACTGTGCAGCTATTGCAGTGAAATGCTACTGACCGTGTGCTGAGAAGGCTCCGTCTGCAGATTCAACTCTGATTAACTGGTGGTGACTTGACAGCAAAAACAGGCCAGTATAATGGGGTCAGTAGTCCAAGTAGGCATGGGGTCAAGATAGGCACTGTGGGAGAGTTCTTCGAGTGTCTGTGTGAAGAAAGGAACCCATATCTAACAGGGCACTCTATACCATTTACTTATATCATCTCTGGACTGTAGAATGATAACCCCAAATCTTGGCAACCTTTGCCACATATCCTCTTCCCTGTCCCTACCACAAAATACGCGCTTTTGGAAAAGGTAGTAATTCAGTCTGGTGTTAGCTTTTACCCTATACTAAGAATCATCACAAAAAATGGGGTAGGGATGATTGAAGAAGTGATATCACAAAGAAAGTCCCAACTATCTCTGATATGATATATTTGGT